TTTGTTTTTCATGTCAGCAGGTATCTGCTCATCTTACCCCATATATTGTTTTGTTGGTTTGACTGACTGTAAGAGAGACCTGTATCCAGAATTAGATAATTATTCCTAACTGGGAATGGGAAAAGTTGGTAGTGGCAGTGGGGGGAGTAGGGACTAGGGGAATAATAATAGATTATTTCATTGCAGCTGTCTCACCCCCTTTGTAATTCTGTAAATCCTTATTTGGGTTATCTCTATGGTACATGGACAGATTTACAGCAACTTTATGCAGTACTACTGACCCTTTCTTCACTTCCCTCATGTTCTGTTTGAAGGGGTATGTTTTTGGAATCAGATTGGAGAACATGAAGAACTGTATAATCTTAGACAACCTCAAAACAGTATCAGTTTGAGGGAGTCTGAGGCATTTTTAGATACAGTCACCATTTCACCATAATATTTTTTATAGAACTGCTGCTGCCAGAAAGGGGGAAAGGATTTTTTTATACTATAAATTAAATGGTCTTTCTATAGTATTTCCTATGAAATAATGTTAGCAGATTTTGTAATGACACTGTAATAAACATTATAAATTATAATGATGGAAACCACATCCAATTTCTCATGACTGACTTGTCTCCTAGCTACTGAAAGTGATTATTTTAAATTCCTAAAGACATTTGTTATGGACTTAAATGGTGGAACTATTTATTGTAATATATAGAATGTAATTGATTTCTCTAGCATTAATTTGCCACAGACTGTAACTGTCAGTAATAACTCTACCACAAATGCAATTATTTAGTGGGATGAAACACTTTCTCTACAAGAGGGTTTCCTTAGGGGATCAACTTAAAGAAACTTTAGCGGTGCAGAACTAGTACTGTGTGCCGTGGTCCCTATCTCTCTCCAATACAAGCTTAATATGGCGAGCCTTCAGTTAATGTAAAAGTTCAGGTGATAAGATACATGATGTGACCAAAACTGGCAGATTTTTGGGAAGCTGCTGTATTAGAAAATAAATTGGTTCCTTCAAGTTAGTTTAAAGTGAGCTTTCCCATGTTTTGTACCCAGTAGTAGTTTCTGTGTCATGGAAGTCTGCCTTGATATTAATGAAGGACTGGGAATTGAGTGGAAAGTGTAAATTGTTAGTCATGCCAAACCCCTTAGGCTAAATTTGTGTGTTCATTGCATCTTGTCACATTGAGCACCAAAATACATGCTTTAAATTCAGTCAGATCTACTGTGAGTGCCCTTGTTGTAAGGCCACGTATCAGAATGTCACCCAATTTCTCTAGCTTTTTCAAACAGCCACTATAAAATAGTGCCATCTGCAGAACAGCAGGTTGGATGTTTGTGAAGCTGTGGAAAATTAATAGTCTTTCTTTTGGTTTTGCACATTTCTGTCTGAGGAAGCTAAAATATTTATGACTTTTAAAACACTTTGCATTTTTTTTTACTGTCATGAGGCTATGTAATACTACATTTGACTAATTTTGTAAATTGTGTGTGTGTTATAAAGCATCTTTATGTGTCTCTGAATGTTGTGCTTTTATTTTAGTGTTGATTTAGCTCTGGATGTAAGGAAAAAAACATGATTTATTTGAGGATGTAACTTGAAGGAAGGCAGAGGTGAAGATCACTAAACTGTGCCAAAAAAGTGTTGTCACTGTCTCAGTGGATCACAGCTGAGAATAGCAGATTCAGAACAAATCCCTGAGAAATAGGACAGACTCACCTCTCCTCTGGATATTACATCATAGGCTACACCAAGTCAGTAACAAAAGTAAACTTTTGTCTTACCACCCTGGTTAACAGTAAAAATGCAGTCTCCTTAGGCATCCCAGCCCTTGCTTCACCACCCACACACACTGAACTTCATAACGTATTGACAATTAAATTATTCAGTCAAAGGTTCTTCTGATCACAAAATATCAGCTACATATTCAGGTCAGTAGATAACTCACATCTTACTCAGTTACTGTTGCCAGTCTTATAGATCTAATATTTAAAAGTTTATTTGTAAGAGAAAAGAAAGAGGTGAGAGTTAAAATTGTCAAAGAAGTAATATACTTACAAGTCATTGCAAAGTTCTTTTATTGGGTTTGTAACCATGATGTTACAGCAGCGATGGGCAACCAAAAATAGGGAGTGGGCTGCATGAATGGTGCTCCTTCACCTCAGTGGGTTCCAGCAATCTGCAACCCACTGGGGCTCCCCTGTCTTCCCCTCCTCAGTTTATTATATCCTAACTTTTCCATTGACACCTTACATGATGTATGTTGTGTTGCAATTGTTTAAGTGGCTCTCTTAGTTATATAAATGATCATATCTCAATAATTCAGCATCACACTGACACATAGTAATTTTAACTAATCAAAAGTCATAGCTAGATAGAAGAATGGAGCCTAGAGTCTCAAATCCTAGATATATTCACAATTTCTGAGACACAACTCCGTTAGCAGCACAAAATTAAACTACTGCATGGACACTCTAGAAACTCGGGCAAAATTCTGCCTTTCAGTATGAATCCTTGGATAGTTGTTGCAGCAGTTGGAGAGCAGAATAGAGGCCTCTGGGTAAAGGGAACAAGAAGTGGAAAGTCTGTGCGCACTGGAAGTAGATGAGGATTTCTTCTGCAAATTATAGTATAATTACTGTATGTACTAGTAAATATACATACAGTATATTACAGACTAACTCGACTACCCCCTGAAGCTCGCAGACAGAGTTACAGGAACCTGCTGTAGTTTCTGTACCTATTTTTCCCCTTATTACATAGGGAATAGCTGGTAGACTGGTAAAGTGCACTTGCAAGTCTAGTATCCTAACACTTCCCCCATATCATCTCCAAAATCTTCATATGCATTGTGCTTCAGGGAGTCATCATGGAGTTGAGCAGCTTTCTTCTATTATTTTGTTGAATAAAAAGAAATTAAAGGGATATTGCAAAGGCTGGCCATCCTAAAACATAGATGTAGTTGCTCTGCTTTGCAGAGTATATGAATATAGTCTATCTGCTTATATGTCCCTTCCCTCATCACCTTAGTATCTGAGCCCCTCACAGGCATTGAAGAATTATTTCCCTACCTCACCAGAATGCTGTGAGGATTACTATCCCAATTTTACTGCCGAGGAAATGAAGCACAGACAATCTGTTGGCTAGTCCATTGACTTCCACTGATTTCAGTAGGTTTTGGATTAGATTTAAAGAGCTTATGATTTGGTCAAAGTCATGCAAGTAAGTGTGTCATAGCTGAGGCTAAAATGCTGAGTGCCTTACTACATGCCAGCATTCTCCTTCTTGCCTTTCTGCTATTCTTGCTTGCATCTTTCTTGTTAGTGGGGAGTGTAATAAAATAGATATACATTCTGCTAATCTAGCTCACTAGAGAGTAAGATTCTAGAACATGTCACAATCCTTCCTCTCACAAGGATGCAGCAGGCTAGAGGTTTGGATTGGATGATGTGCTATATTCACTTACTATCACTTAATAACATTTTTAAAATCTTAAGCAAAAGAGAGATTAGAGATTTTTGCTGATGTCTCAGACTTTGCGGTTGTACAAAGGTGGGTCACTGTTGCTAACCCTGTTTATATAACATAAGGAGAAGCTGTGGCACCTGGTGGTTAAGTGACTGACTGAATTACAATCTTCCATTAGTGTCATAAACAGATCACTGGATTCAATTCTTAACTCCTTTATAGCAACTAGATAATGCTGCTTTCTTTATGAATTACCTTACGCTGTTTAAAAGTTGTTGATAGAAAGTGGTAACTATCCAAATGTTGCTGGGGCTACCGACAAGCAACATTATTTCTGAGGGTTTGTAAAATTAAGTAGCATCCTATCTAGATACTGTAACTAGTGGTATTAGCAATTTAGATGCCCCTGGAAACTTGAGCACTTATTAGGTGAGACTTTTAATAAAACCTTTCTGACAGTTCAGTTATTTAACTGACCATCGTGTTAATGACTTAAAATATTCAGCAGTGTAACTAGACAGTGTTGGCTGAAATTGAAAATGCTGCACTTGCACTTCTGGGTGTCCTGCAAAGCCATGTTTCAGCAGATACTGAGCTTAAGGCAGAGAAACATTTAAATCCTTTGTGGGGTGAACAGTGAGGACAGTAATAGCCTCTGAAATGAGTGAGAGAATGAGAAAGTCCCAGGAAACAGATGGACGCGTCTCGTAAAGGAGGGAGGAAGGTGCTTTTAAATATCAGTTAATTTAATAAAGCACTGATACGTTTTGAACTGAAATGGGAAGCATTGTAAACTTAACATACTGGGCAATAAAATATTTTCAGTTTGACTGATGCTAATTTATTCATTGCACAATTTATTCCTTCCTTCCTCCCTGATTTCACAATAATGCTTCATTGCTTTATATATCACTGTGTGATGTGAGTAAAGAACTTTTCTTAAATCATTGTGAAGGTGCTCTTAACATATACTATTTATAAAATCAAATCACTGTGGCAAATGTCATCTTGTCTAAATTTCTCCTTCAAAATTTGTTTACTCTGTCACTCGATATCTTTTATATATAATAGTTGCTAAAATCTGCATTGTACAGTTCGGATGCACAACAGTGATCTGACTTCAGGTTCTCTTCTTCTTCCAAGTATTTCAGTAAAATAATTTATAAAAACCCTACATATCAAACTAATTGTAGTGCTCATAGAGGTGCCAGATTGCCAGCCCTGCATCTCAAAGTGTTCTCTCAAACTCAGAAATCAGCCATGTCAATGCAAGCCACCTCCCTGTTCCACCCTCCCAGCATGCCTGAGTGCTAATCTAATGAAACTGCATCCGGAGAAGGAAGTTCTGTTAATGAACAGACCATACCAGTTCTTACGGTGGATTTTTCATTATGGACTGAGACCACTAATTCATTGGATATGATGTTAAATAAGTATAAAAAATTTAAATTGGAGTGGGGGGGGGGGCAAGACTGGTTTTCTTACTCATTTGATAACTTTATCATAAATAATGGTCTTGCGCATATATCCATAGATTCCTCCTCACTGTGGCTCTTCCAATGTGAATGGTGTGCCCGAACTATTCCATTGCATAAGTCTTGAAGGTAAGTACTTAAACCACTAATTGCTACTAATCTTTGCAAAATCTTTGTTCAGATAGGTGACTTTGTTAGCTCTGTGATAGTAGAGCCCTGCAAACCCATGAATATCTACAGGTGGATATGGGTAGCTGCAGATCATTTTTGCAGATGTGAAATCGTTTTTATATCCAGGCTGGACTCTAATAATACACCATTACTGGCACACTCAGATTTTAATCTTAATTGCTTGACATGCCTTACAATGTACTAAATCTTGGCTAACCATTATGGTATCAAACCGTTACTGTAGCACTTGCTGTATCAACACTACAGTGAGAGAGATGAATTTGATTCTAAATAATATTGCCCCTTTGCCAAATATTAGCAGATTTTTCGGCCTTATTGGTTAGTTTCCCACTGAAAGACAAATTCTAGTCTAGATGATGTCTAGTCAGGTTGTTATCACAGTGTAACATGTTTATTTACAAAACATATTTTCACCCTGTTTTCTTGAACCAGAGGTAGACACAAAATTCACATGGACAAATCCCTCTTGCAGAACCCTGAGCTGAAACACCATTTACCCTCTTTATACTATGATGCAACCAACACAAAGGAATTTTGGAGAAGGTTTCACTGTCCAGAACATACTTCAATCCACACAATCCTGTTAATGCCTGCTTGGATGCAGTGAGAGTTTCAGCCTGAGTACTTAACCTCAACTCATAATATTTATGACCTTAGCAACTGCCTACCATGCATAAATCATAACATGCATGCCATAGCATATCTTCATGAACACAAGTTCTTATAACTTGATTTAATGTTACAAGCAGCAGCGCTGATCTACATTTTTCTCTATGTAATGGCTCCAGGAATGAGCTCTCTTTTTTACAAGAATATTTTCTGGTTTTAAAGATCTGACCGTAGGTATTTGGCCTGACAGAATTCAAGGATTTTCACCCAGTCCATCTTTATAGCTTTCTCAGGGCGATTGCCACGTGCTTCCAATCAGAAGGGGTCTCATTCAGGAATTCTTGCACATCAGGGTACGGGAAAAGCAATTTGTAAACTTCCATGAAAGTGGCCTTACACATGCAGAAGTTTTGTAGCCACTGCTGATCATCCTGTACCCACATCACAAGTCCCACCAGTTGGCGCTTGTCTAACAGCACCAGAACTGCCATTCTACTGATTGCAGAGGATGGAATACTGGCAGCGTTTGCTAATCGCTGAATGCAAGTGCTTCACAGAAGATTGTCATAGCCTCCTGAGATTCTTCCTTGTTTTGGCAAACCCTTGATATGCTCTGGATAGCCAGAGCATATCCTCCAGCATAAGGCTCACCATGGTTAATATGATTTCCATAATGCTTTCGTACTCAACCCACAATGGGTTCCATGATTATGCTGCAATGGCATCTGCATAGATAACCACAGGGGAAAAAAGGGCATGAAGAAACTATTTGCTGTTTCTTGCAAGCAAGTGGGAGGGAACAGACAAGTGCATAATGGGACACTGACGGCATATACTCAGAACCACTTGCTGAACAGTTTTGGTTCCAGTATGCACTGGGAGCATAACCCAGAATGCAGAGGGGTACAGGAACTGTGGGATAGCTACCCACAGTGCATCACACTCAAAGTCAATGGTAGTCACCTTACTGGGGACGCGCTACTTCAGACTGTTTCAAATTGTTACACACAGTGGGAGTATGCACCTTTGACTTTACAAAATTGGGTGCTAAAAAGTCAACCCTTAATAAATTCAACCTTATCTTGTTGACATGGCTTAAGTCATTCTGGGGTAACCTGTGGGATACAAAATGAATGAAAAAAACCCTCCTCTTTGGTTAAACACTAGTGTATGTATTAGACTGATATAGACAGCCCATCCATGGAAATTATGAACGTTGTGTCTCATAAGTTCATTTGGCTGCAAGTGGAGGCATCAGACTAGCCAGCCCACCTATTCTAAACTTTCCCCTTCAGTTTTGTAGGAGATCAGCTTGTGGAAAAAACTTTGTAACCATTGTGGAAATTTTGTTAATTTTTGTTTTTCATCATGAAATAAATCTGTGTTGAGAATAGGGAGGCTAGCAAATAATTCATTACCTTCATCCTACAGAAATATTTACAAATTGATGTCTCCTTGCGGATGTGAAAGAGTGGCTGTAGACAGGGTATGAGAGCCAGACAATTGCTTGTCCCTACTTTACTTGATGTCTGTTTCCAATATAAAAATGAGTAGTCCTATGGTACTTTAGAGACTAACAAAAATATATATAGTATCATAAGCTTTCGTGGGCAAAACCCACGTTTTCAGATGAGCTTGAACTCATTTGAGGAAGTGGGTTTTGCCCACGAAAGATCATGATACTGTATATATATTTTTGTTAGTCTCTGAGGTACCATAAGACTTCTTGTTGTTTTTAAAGTTACAGACTAACATGGCTTCCCCTCTGAGACTTATTTCCGATATTGACAAGTGTGTTGGCTATAATCTAAAACTAGGTCTTTGTCTTCTGTTAATAAAGCAATTAAGTCTTTAAATGGGATGATGCTATTTATATTCTAAAATTATGGAATTTTAGGGAAAGGTATAATGGTAATAGAAAACTAACAGTAATAAAACTTACCTGTACTTGGCACTATGACAAATTTGATACAGAGAATTTGTATGTGCCGGGTTTTCTAGATGACTAGGACCTGAGAAGCTCTTTTTACAAAAACAAGTCAAAGACTAGGACAGGGGTGGCCAACCTATTAGAGACAAAGAGCCAAAATAGCAGTGGATAGAGTGCGAAGAGCCATGTACTGGGGAGGGGAAGGGAGAGGGGAAGGGAGTTGAGAGGGGGGAAAAAACCCACAGCCACACCAGGGGAAAATAGATGCCAGTACACCATCCCAGGGCATACCATCATAAAAAAAGCACTGGAAGGATGAGAGGTGCAAGCTCTGGGAGGGAATTTGGGTGCAGGAGGAAGTTGAGAGGAGGATGCTGGCTCATGGAGGGGGCTCCAGGCTGGAGAGTATTAGAGTCAGGGGGAGGGTTGAGGTGCTGAGCAAGCCACAGGCTTGTGGCTGTGAGGGAGTTTGGTCTGGGATGTATGAGGGGCTTAGGGCAGGGAGGCTGGGAGTATGATGGGCTCAGAACACAGATTTGCAGTGTGTGGATGGTGCAGGAGTGTTGTGACAGAAGCCTGAGGGTGCAGGAGTTTGGGGATGCGAGAGGCTCAGGACGGGGTTCCAGTGTATGATAGGCTCAGGTATAGGGTCTGGGGTGTGTGGAAGAGTGTTATGATGCTGCAGCCAGATGGGGGCTTGGCCCCAATTGGGGGTTTGTTGGCCAGGCTTCATTTTTAGATACAATATTATGTCAAACACAAAATGTTTCAGTGTTGTTTTTATTTATCAGAGAGGCAAGGAACCTGTTTTGAGTCGAGGTCACAGAAAAGTCAGTTGAGGCCACACAGGTGAGATACAAAAAAAAACCCCTCACAAATGTGGCCCCAACTGTGCTGGTGGGGGCAGGGGACAGGGTTCTGGGGCAGGGTGCTGGGGCAGGGTACTTGTGGAGGGGGGTCTGGCCAGGGGAAAGGGACAGAGACCGCTGGGATTAGTACCTGGTGATCCCAGGTCTCAGGAAGCACGCC